AGAAGCGAAAGTGGGACAATCAGAGTTGCTAAGAATTAAAGGTTCATAGAAGATTCCATAGGAAGTGCTTGGGGTCATTTTTGACCCTACTTGTGAAAGAGTGGGGTAGTGATACAAAAACTGCATTTTCTTAAAATTGATGAAAAAAATGAATAAAAATGCAAATGGCCTTATTTTACAAACATATTTTATGAGGAATACCTGGAATATGAATATATTACAACTTTTCATTATAAAGATTTTGAAGAAAAACAACCCGTGGGGTCCTTTTTTTTTTTTTTTTACAGCGCATTGTTTTCTTTTTCAGAAACTGGCAGCAGATTGTCAGCGTGCCGGCCACCCTGGTGTTTTGGTCCCATTCAAGTGTGACTTGAGCGAAGAGGAAGAGATTCTGGCCATGTTCGCAGCGATCAAGGAGCAGCACAAAGGTTTGGACGTCTGCATCAACAATGCTGGCTTGGCTCACCCAATTGCTCTAAATGGCAAAACCAGCGGCTGGAAGAACATGATCGATGTAAGAGCTCAGAGTTATTTTGGTTTCGCTTTTGTATATGATATGTGTTATAGAAGCATTCACAGGGATGGTTTCCCAGCAGGATATTGTGAGAGGATCACTTCTATGCAGGTTTTAGGATAAGATAAGATTCACTTCTCTAACAGCCTCTGAAAGCAAGTGATATTTGCTGCCACGTGTGTGCTCAGTGCCCCTCCTTATGTCAAGGTCTGTGATTTTCTCTTATTTTCATGCTTTCTTATTGGGACTTAATCAATTTTGCTCCTTCACACTTAAAAAAAAAAGAGAAAATCTTTATTTTCTTTTTTGCCTGTTCTGTTCGGCAGTGAAGCAGTCAGTTATTGTCTGAAGGCCAAGAAAAATGCCCAACAGATTTATTTTCCCAGGTGGAGTTATTACAATCAGAACAGATCATAACAGACAGTGTGGGGGGACAGGAAAGAGAAAGAAGAAGGAAAGAGCGGATGGGAATAGAGTTAACAAAAGGAGACGGAGAGAAAAAATAGAGGAGAAGAGAGAGAGAGAGAGAGAGAGAGAGAGAGAGAGAAAGAAAGAAAAGACTGAAAATCTGCTTCAGCCACAATAAAAACAAACATATGTAAAAGCAACAGTATATAAGAAATATTAAATGTTATTGAGCAATCTTTAACAAAACAGTGCACTGCTTTTTATAACAATGTTTTATGTTACATTGTTACTGTTGCAGATCTGATGGCAGCTATTAAGGATTGTAATCTTGCATATATCCTTTTTGGCTGACTAGAGCCTCTTTTCTGCATTTTGCTTGTGATATTTTTGCTATGTTGATGCCAAATCTTTGGTGGAGTTTCAGTTTATTAAATCAGACAACATTATGTGGCTTGAAGGGAAACATAATATTAGCCTCCCCTTCACGTACTTTAAATCTCACTGCTCATTTGTCATTCTCCTTTACAGACTCCATTGTGCACTCCACTTCCTCCTTACCTTCGCCTCTACAGCTCCATTCAAGTCTCCACCTTTATTTCCCCAACCAGCATCTAAACTCTGGGAGATCCTGGCCTAATCCCTAGCAGCACTGGGATGCTGTTCTGCTCTTCTTCTGTGGTGGGCCATCAGTGTCTAATTGCCAAATAGATTAATTGAATTATGTAAAGCAATAAATCATATTAAATTCCTTTCAATGATCACTCCTTATTTAAGTGTTTTTATACATCTTAGAGCACAAATAGGAAACTCAGAATGAGGCCAGTCATTTCATGGACAATTTTTATTTGAAAATCACTCCCATTCACTTTTTAGACTCTTTAACTCTTTACACATGTCACATCAGAATTTTGAAAACAGACCTGATTTGTTTGACACAGTAATATATAAAGACAGCTATATTTTTGTTCAGTCAGCACAAACTTCTACAGGCCATAGTCATAGTCTGGTTTTCCATCAACGAAGGGCTTGAAGAAGGCCTTGTGGGCATCTACGCTGTGCATTGTGGCTTTGACAGCTGGATCTTCCAGCATGTGCTCTGTCCACATCTTCATCTCAGGTGTGCCATCCAGACAGCTAGGAGACAAAAGTAAATTACAGCATGTGAACCCACATTTGTTTGCAAAACATCCAGCAGACAGGAAATAAATATAAGATATTCAATAGATGCTACAAAGGAAGAAAAGCTCAAATTAGATATTAAACTGTTACTTTAGTTGTGTTACAGTTTTGCAGATTGGGCACTGTTATTTCTTCATTTGAAAGGAAGAAAAATAAGTCCACATGGAAGAGGTAAACCTTTATGGAACAACAAGATCTGGACAACCTACTGTTGCAGCTCAAAGACCTCCAGTCTCTCAAACCACGGCCACATCATGTAGTCAAACATTGTTATGGAATCACCACCAAAAAACTTGATCTTCTTGTTAA